GGCTTGTGCTTCTTTCCCTTCCACACCACGTCAATTTAATAAAATCTCAGAGGCTCTAAGTTGCTTGGTAGAGGGCACTGCCCAAGGCAGGCATAAATACAGAGCAGGACTGGACTGAAGCAGGCATCATTAGGAAGAGGAAGCCATGAGAAAAGGGGGACGGCACTCCCATGAACAGAGAAATGACAAAGACAGCAGAGAAGAGGAGAGGCAAGATGCAAGCACAGCAGAGGAGGGTGCCTAGATGCCTTTGCCACCTCAGCCAGGAGAAGGCAAGGATGATTTGATGGGATCTCACCTCTAAGAGGAGACAATAGGGATGCAGCAATGACTGCTGCTGAAGAGGAGAGGAAGGGACATTTATCTAATTTTCTGCAACCTGAAATTCAGACCCTGGAACTGGTCAAGGATGCTGGGCATGGAATAAAAGATGCTTGATTATTGTGGAGATTTACCACGAAGGATTGAGCAGCAGCACCTTGCTAAGGACAGGACAGAGGAGGCTTGAAGATAAACAAGCTCAGGATGAGATGTAACAGTGCTGCAATGGGGCCAGGTGTCATGTTGAACAGTAGCAGAAAAGCCTGGAAGGCAGCGAAGGCAAATCTGTCCTAGTGCTTCTGCACTACAGACATCTGCAGGAGCAATGAACTAGCAGGAAACCCATGACTCTTGTGTTTTCTCCACCTACATGGCACAGCTGCACTCTGCCTCTGTGTGACACACAATCAGCTTGGGGCAGGAGCAACATCAATCAATCAGCATGTCCTCACCAAAGCAGTTTCTGCCTGGGTCTGGCTGGGGAGGTTTCTTGGAGAAAACTTGATTGCACTGATCTCTTGATTGCTTCACCTTATTTCCAAAATGTATTTTCTCACCTCTTTATTGACCAAGGAACATAACAACAACATCCCAAACAACATAAAATTTTTAAAAAGGATAAAGTTACTTGTCTGCTAAGATCTTACAGCTGCTGGCTCTGTGAGGGTGGGCTATGGGTGGGAGTGAGAAAAGGTGCTAAGTCCCCTGTGTGCTGCCACTCTTGAGAGCCAGAGCGGGAGACAGGTTCTAGTTCAGCAAAGGACCGGGTGACACATCCTTCCTAGCACAAAGGTAACCATGGAAGAACAAGCAACAGCACCAGTATCTCTGCACAATTAGGCTCCAACTCCTAACTTTCCTAAGCCACAAAAATAAGTGCTCTGGATCTATGTTATAAATAAGATCAAGCTTATGCATTTCATGGAGTTTACCACAAAATTACCTTAAAATGCATATAGGGGATCACACAATACACAATAAATGAATATTTTAATTCAAGGCAACAGCAAAGACTTTTCTTTTTCCCATGGTCAATTATTATTTCCCTATTAAGTCTTCAATTTTATTTCTATTCATAGCCTAGGTGCATAGCAAGTAAAGCAGAAATGAAGGGATTGTACATCCCCTGGAAATCAGAAACTACTCCTGCTAGGTCTCACCTGAACATCACTTCACAGCAGTATTTTGTCCCAGCATCTTTAGTAGCACACTGCCTTAAGGTGCTGACTGAAAGCTTTCCATCCTGCAGGACTATCCTTCAGAGGCCTCTCTTGCTCTGCAAACACCCAGCACAGCTCCACAAATCAGCTGGCACTGACGTGCAGAGGCAGAGCATGACGCCACTTCCCCAGACCCAGGCACAGCACACAAGAGCCAAGGCGGGAGGAGCGGGGAGCTGAAATGGATATTAAGCTGAACTGAGAAAAGAGGGGGTGATCCCCCTTTGCTTTCTAACCCAGCCCCACTGGCTGCTTTTATGGACTGCTCATAACTACAGCATGCACACTCCTGAAGTGCAATATGTTTGGGATTTAGGCTTTCAAGTTCAAGACTCTGATTTATCTTTAATTCACTTGGATTTGCAAACCAACCCTTGTTCCTTGAGGCTCTAGAGAGACAGGCACACACCAAACCTCCTCTTGCTGCCCCAAATTCAGCTCAGTGGACAACACCCACAGCGACTTCCCTTGGGGGTCACCAAGAGGAAGCATAAACACAATGATTGCAATTTTGCAGTAGTCCTGGGTTATGCCAGATGCTTTTAATGTCTGGCCAGATGTTTGTCAGGAGAAGCAAGTGATTGAAACATCACAGTGTGCTGAAGCAATCACTGAGTAAACAGCAAGGTTGCTTTGCCCATTCCTTACAGTACTACCAGAATTCCTTACAAGTTGATCCTTTATTTTTCACTTTTGATTCTAGTCGAATGAAGGGAAGGCACAAAAATCCTGTTATAAAGGAGCAAAAAAAATTCCTTGGTTTTGAGAGACTTCTCCCTCTCCAGACTGGCTTATAGCACAAATGCTCTTTTGTGGAAATCAACCATTTTCTAAGATTATCATAAGACAATATTTTTAATCAAAGTTATAAACTACAACAAGTTCATATTTCAGTGGTTCTTTCCCTCCCTCTTCTTCGTTCGTGCTAACTCTTATCCTTTTACCCATTTTTCAACAGAAGGACTAACAAGGAATAATTGAGAATGATGTACGATCAGGTTTACTTGCCAAGTCTTTTTATACTCAAATATTCAATTTGTGGCTTCCAGTAATAGCCGGGTAGGTAGTATTCTTTCTCCTGCCCTCCACAAAAGAAAGCAGAAAGGAGTTATCCATGGATTTAGATACATTGAGGTGTTCACTATGTGTGAGCTGGCTGCCTCACAGCCAGATCCTGCAAAACTACTCAGCATCACTCCAGACTCCAGACTGTGCTTTCATTATGGCATATCAGAAAAGCCTGCAGCAAGTTAGAGACAAGAACCATGCTCAGCAGCAGGTACAACATTTTTTCATTCTAAATGCTGCATGTGAAAATATGCCAGCTGCCCACTGGGAGTGGAGGTACTTTGTGGATGGACAATTTGCAAAACCGATTGGCTGGGTTCAGACTTAGCTTTCCCTGAAGCCAGCTTCACTGCTCATGTTTAAACCAAGAGTTTAACTTTCATTTTACCTGATAAATTATAACAAAAATCTCAAGAGGTCTTGATTTGTTGCAATGCATTCATCACATTTTCCCACTATAGTTCAGTGTCCCTTGAAACTGAAGTTTATGCTGACTGGGTGGACTCTGAAAGAGCTTGCATCTGCTTCCAGGGACACTGGACTCCTCCTGTAACTGCCTGCACCATAGGTGCCACACTTTATGATATAAAAATATCTTCCTGTGACCAGCCCCACTGCAGTGGGGAGTTTGGGGAGTGGCAGTCAGAGATAAAGCAGGAGGCCTGGCTGTGCCCTTCCCACCTGCTCAATAAGCAGCCCCCTTGTGCTCACACAGTGCATCCATCCTGGGTCTGCCCACAGTGATCCCTGGCCAGCCACACCACAGGGAACCACCCGGGCATTTCCTGCAAACCAGGGAGGGTATGATAAGTGAATGAGCTGCATGCTGCACAGCAAAGTACGGGCTACATGACAGATGAAATAAGATATAATAGTGGTAAGACTTTATGAAGCACAATAAATACACTACAAGCACTTTTCTGTGTATGCAAACCAGAAAATTAAATCCAGAGGATGCTGTTGGCTTAAAAAGCCAACCAGATCCTGAGCTCCCCTCCTCTAGAGGTCAAAAATATGAATGAACTAAAGCAATCCGGATCCTATTTGGTTGTTCAGCTCTGATGACTCATCTTCCCTGAGCTCCTCTTAGGCTAATGACAAAGAAACAAACACAGGCAGAACAGTATTGAACTTGGCATCATTTTGGCAAAGTTGCTTTTCCAGGATTTTGCCACCAGGTACTACTTGCACTTCTTGTGTTACCTGTGCCCCAAGAAAGAACCAAATGTTTAATAAGCAAACCGCCTGGTTTTCTTTCAAGCCACCAACAATTTCTACTCAAGTCCCAGGACAGCCTAAAATTTAACCCAAATTTGATGGAGCTTAAGGCAAGCAGCCAGTCAGGGCAGCTCCTTAGACTCTCTCCTTAAATCTGGTGTACCCTCCTCCAGCTGTGACCCAAAATGCTCCCTGCAGAAATAAAGCCATGCAAGAAGTGCAGAAGCAAAGAGGCAGCCTCTGGGGATGCTCTGTCCTGAATCAGCTACCCCCACCCAGGAGTGGTAATGTGAAGTGGTGGCTGTGATCCCTCTAAACCCTGTGGGTGAGCAAGGGAAAGAGTTACATTCCTAAGACAAGGCCAGCAGTGGTGCCAAGAGTGAAAGTCACCATGTATCTCCTGCCCTCGGAAGCTGCCCTGCTCTCTCAGGAACTCCTGCCCTTGTGTGTCTAGTCGGGCATTCTATACAGCACTTTACTTCTGAGGGAACAGAGTGACACACAATTATTAAATGAAAAGCAAATGTTGTAAGCAAAATTTTATGACTGAAAACAGTTTAATCACCTTTGGATGTGATTTTTGGATGATGGACTGTGTCTTACCCTGGTTTGAATATTTGCATGCTGTGAGCTTGCCCTGCTTCTTCACGTGTACTGACGACCCTTTAAAAGGTATCACCTCTCCTGACAAGTTTCTGGGTCCCCACCAGCAGAAAGTGGTGCCTTCTCGACCTCATAAAAGGGCTTTCCATCCTTCCTCACACATTCCAAAACCTTATCAATAGCAACTTGCCTGGAGGGGGAACGAGCTTAGCAATCCCTCAGCAGAAGGGTCTAGTGCTGCCCACCCACATCGCGTGACATTGCGACGCTAATTGACCTTTTTGTAATGCCGACGCCAAAATAAATCCTGTGATACCTCAGGTCCTCGGCTGGAAAGGTCTGGTGGGTCCTGCTGGCTCCAGAAGAGGATGCCGGGGCTCGCACCGGAGAGGGGGATGTGGCCGTGAGCCCGTCGCCGCCTGCGCTTCCCTCCGCCGGGCCCGGGCGGCGCTGGCGGCCGGCGGTGACCGCCGTCGAGGCGGCAGCGAGACACCGCCCACGCCGGGGGGGCCCCGCGTGGGTCCGGGCAGCGCGGGCGGCGCCCGCAGCAGACAGCAGCAGATCCGCAGATCCGGCGGGGCCGGGGAGGGATGCGGGCACCGCCGCCCGCCGGGGCGAGAGCTCCCCGCGTCCCGCACTGACGGCCGCCCCGCCGCCGGCACTCTCCTCGGGGCTCGCGGGGAGTCGGCGGCTCCGGGGCCGCGCAGCCATGGCCAGCTCCGCGCAGCCCCCCGCGGGAGCCGGCCCCGACGGCGGCTCTCTGGCGGGGGGCGGCGAGACCTTCGGGGACCGCTCCCTCAGCCAGGGCCTGAGCGTGCTGGTGGGGCTGGGGCTCTGCGTGACCATGCTGGGGCTGGGCTGCGCCGTGGAGCTGGGGCAGCTGGGGCAGCAGCTCCGGCGGCCCGTGGGGCTGCTGCTGGCCCTGCTGGGACAATTCGTGGCCATGCCACTGCTGGCCTTCCTCCTCGCCCTCATCTTCGCTCTGGACGAGGTGGCGGCCGTGGCTGTACTGCTGTGCGGCTGCTGCCCCGGGGGCAACCTCTCCAACCTCATGTCGGTGCTCGTCGACGGGGACATGAATCTGAGGTAGGTGCCCCGCTGCCCCTCGCCCGCAGGCGGTCGGGGGGCTGCGGCAGCTCCGGGAGGGTTCGCTGGGCATCTGCCGCCGGTGGAGCCGGGACGGGCGGGCGGGCGGGCACGGCGCTCTGGGAATCGCCAGCTCGGCTCTCCTGTGGAGGATCTTACAGGAGCCCCGACACACGTCTCCTGCCTCCTTCCCTAAAACCTTGCGTGCCCGCATCCTGGCCGGAGCAGGGGAGGGGGTGGAGGATGGAGAGGGGAGAGCGAACGGGCTCTTGCCGTGACAAGTGCCCGGCCGGCTGCAGAAGCCGCTTCCAGCGGGGGTTGGAGCTTCCCAGGGTTGCCCCCCGGCCGGGCGCGCGGTGATGGAGCATTTCTTTGGTTCCCCCGGCGCAGCATTATCATGACGGCCTCCTCCACGCTGCTGGCCCTCTTCCTGATGCCCCTCTGCCTCTGGATCTACAGCCGCCACTGGATCAACACGGCCGTGGTGCAGCTGCTGCCCCTGGGGGCGGTAAGCCTGACGCTGGGCAGCACCCTGCTGCCCATCGGCCTGGGGGTGCTCATCCGCTACCGGCACCCCCGCGCCGCCGACCTCCTGGTCAAGGTAGGCACGGCGCGGGGAACGAGCGGGGCGGCACCGGGGACGGGGAGCCGACGGCAGGAAGCTTTCTGGTCTCTCCGAACCGGTGCTGGTCTCACACAGGCATATTCGACTACTTAAGTGGAATACAAAGTCTTGAAATAAAACGGTGGGGCAGAGAGAGCGAGAGAAGGGGCGGGTTACCCCCTATCGCAGCACACAGGAGGGAGGGCAGCGTGGTGCTCTGCCCCGGCAGGCATCCTGCACCCCGTAGCAGAGGCGTTCTGTGACATCCTGCTTTCTCCCCACTCTTCCTGCACCCAGGTCAGGCAAAACCAACCTGCAGGCACAGCCACACTTCCTTAAAACATGCAACTAAATTAGCTTAATTGAGAAAGGAAGAGTGAGGCACAAGTCCTGACTCTTGTTTCCCAGCAAGTCACCCCAAAGCAAAATGATGGAGGATGACCTCAGCCCGTTCCTTTCGTGGGATATGATCAAACACCACCAAAATCCCAGGCCAGGAGCAAACCTGGGAAGGGCAGTGCAACCATGTTTTGCCACGTAGATTCTTTAGCAAGCCTCTACCTGCTATGCTTACCCTTTCAATATAATAGCCCTCATGTTGTTTATCAACGTCTTTATCTGTTGCCAGATTTCCCTGTGGTCCCTCTTGGTGACTCTGGTGGTCCTGTTCATCCTGACTGGGACCATGCTGGGCCCAGATCTGTTGGCACAGATTCCTGCGTCTGTCTACGCCATTGCAGTGCTGATGCCTCTGGCAGGGTACGCCTTGGGATACGGCTTAGCCACGGTCTTTAAAATGCCCCCACACTGCAGGAGAACAGTGTCTTTGGAAACAGGGTGCCAAAACGTCCAGCTCTGCACTGCCATCCTAAAACTCACCTTCTCCCCGGAGATCATAGGGAGCATGTACATGTTTCCCTTGCTTTATGCGCTTTTTCAGTCAGCAGAAGCAGGACTGTTTGTGCTGGCATACAAGATGTACGGAAAAGACAGCTACAAGCAAGATACACTTGGTGAAGAGGAAGACACAGACATTTCCTACAAGAAACTGAAGGAAGAGGAGGTAGCTGATACTTCATATGGCACAGTGACCACAGAGGAGCACAACTCCATTCAGATGGAGCCGACCCAGACGGCGCTTTAGGCAGGACAAAGAGGTAACTCCCAGAGACTGAGTGTGTGTTGTGCTTGCAGCCAGGCTGGGGCTGTGCTCGCTGCTGTGCAAGCGGAGCTGCCCAGCCTCGATCATTTCTCCAGCTACTCCCATTGTACAAGGTGATATGTGTTTATTACCATGAAAGTTCTACTCCCTCAAAAGTAAAGGTAAAAAAAAAAAAAAAAGAAAAAGCATCACTGTGACACAAGCCATTAACTCTAAAACTTCATGCAAGGAGGCTGCTGCCTGGCTCAGTGCAGCAGGAATGGCTAGAAGGAAGAAACAGTGTTCCACAGAGTCAACACCAATCCAGTGTCAGTTCAGATGACAGGAAAAACCACGTCGCATGTGTATATCTGTGCCTCCCACCTGCTGTAAAAGCATTGTTCTCATTGTTGTCACCACAAATACATGGCAAAGCCGAACCAAACCCGTGTTCTCCGCTGTTTACTCCCTTGGAGGCATTAAGAGTCGCGTTACCTGGTTCTGGCGGGGAGCTGACAGGGGATGGGAGATGGCCCAAGGCCGCGCACCAGGTGGGGATGATAAGGGGCCGCAAGGCCGGTGCCCGTCGGGGGCGAGGGAAGCCCGGCCCCGCCCCGGGGGTATTTAAGGCCACTGCCCGGGGGCTGCCCCGGGTCCGGTGCGATGGCCGAGGAGGCGATGGCGAGCTACCTGTACGCTGCCTACCACCCCTACTCCTACCGCTTCCCGCCGCCCAAGGGCAAAGGAGGGGCGGCGGGCGGCTGGCGCCCGCGGGGCAGCGGCAGCAGCGGCAGCTACTTCCCGGGCTACGGGGAGGCGGCCGCCGAGTACTTCGACAACTACCAGCGGGCGCAGCTGAAGGCCATCCTCTCCCAGGTGAACCCCAACCTGACGCCGCGGCTCCGCAAGGCCAACACCAAGGAGGTGGGCGTGCAGGTGAACCCGCGGCAGGACGCCTCGGTGCAGTGCTCGCTCGGGCCCCGCACGCTGCTGCGCCGCCGCCCCGGCCCCGCCGCGCCGCGGCCCCGTGAGGCGGAGCAGGAGCTGGGCAGCCCCGCCACCACCAACACCCGCGCCGTGCGCTTCCCCCGCACCATCGCCGTCTACTCGCCCGTGGCGTCCCGCAGACTCACCGCCTTGCTGGAGGAGCCGAGCCCGGAGCCGGAGCGGCGGCCGCAGCAGCAGGACAAGGCGGCGGCCGTCGAGCAGGAGCCGGCCGCGCTGTGGGAGCAGCGGGCGGCGGAGGCGGCTGCCGTGCGGGCCAGCTGGGAGAAGCCCCCCGAGGGTGGCGCCGAGCCGCTGGAGCAGCGCCCGGCCGAGCCTCTCGGGCAGCGCTCGCCCGCCCCCCCGGAGCCGGCGACGGAGGCAAGCCAGGAGGAGCCGGCAGAGGTAGCCCAGGCGGAGGCGGCAGAGCCGTCAGTCCAAGCGGAGCCGTCAGCCCAGCCCGCAGAGGCAGCGGAGCCGCCAGCCCAGCCCGCGGAGCCGCCGGCCTCAGCCCAGAAGCAGCAGTCGTCGGCGGGCAAGACCCGCCTGCGCTTCCAGGTGAGTGTCGGCCGCGGGGGAGCAGAGCGGGGCCGGGCTGGCCCGGGAGGCGCCCGCACCGTCGAATAACATTGTCCCCGGCAGTTTCTGGAGCAGAAGTACGGGTACTACCACTGCAAGGCCTGCAACATCCGCTGGGAGAGCGCCTACGTCTGGTGCGTCCAGGGCACCAACAAGGTAGGCCCGGCTCGGATTGCCCCGGCGAGCGCTCCTCGCCGCCGCCCTCCTACCGACCCCGGCCTTCCTCACAGGTCTATTTCCGTCAGTTCTGCCGGACCTGCCAGAAGTCCTACAACCCGTACCGCGTGGAGGACATCACCTGCCAGGTAAGGGGCCCCCGCCGTGCCCTGAGGCCGGGCACTGCCGGGCCCGCCCGCCGACCGCCGCCTTCTCCCGCAGAGCTGCAAGCAGACGCGGTGCACCTGCCCCGTGAAGATGCGCCACGTGGATCCCAAGAGGCCCCACCGCCAGGACCTCTGTGGGAGATGCAAAGGGAAACGCCTCTCCTGCGATAGCACGTTCAGCTTCAAATACATCATCTGAATGGGATGGGATTTTTTTGTTTGTTTGTTTTTTGTTTAGGGCTCGTCAAGAAAACTGCAAGTAGAGCAGATTTGTTTTGTTGTTGTTTTTGTTGATATTGTTGAAGGTACTTGGTGAGATGTAGCTAGGAAAACATGAAAATAAAAGTATTGCAAAGCATACTCAAATGATCAGGTGGGTTTGTGCTCAGCTTAGAGGGTGCATATTGTAAATTCTGTAACTTGCATAGGCAACGAGCCTAGAGGTGTATTGTAATTCAGTGATGGCCTTGGAAGCAACTGACTCAGGACTTTGTAGACTCTCAGGTGGAAAGGGTTTCTGTTACTGCTCCTGCTCTTGAACTAATCAAATTCTTGAAGTTAACATCAAATGGATGTCTGCGTAGATAGTAGACCATCCTTTATGATTAACAAAACACCAGTAGTATTCACTTATTTTGCACACCTCTAGTCAACTTACAAACTATCCTGCACCTGTTCTTCATCACTAGGAAATTATTGAGAAATGCAGTGTAAGTACTGAATCACTTCTACTGGTACAGCTGGCCTGCATTTGGCTAAGTTGGTGTTCTTGTCTGTAGGTAAAAGACAAAGAAGGCTTTGCAGGGATGCTCTCACAAAATGCTGAGGAACAGAGTCACTGCTGTTATGGCGATGGTCTCTTGGTAAATGTGTTGCTCATCTTACTTGCACAAGGTTATGGAGGGAAGTGACACTTCAGAGGAGCAAGGTGCAGTAACACTGCATCTGCTTGGCTTCACTTTTAACTTGCAGGTGAAGTGCAAGAGCTGTGCACTTGGTGGATTATACTTGAAGAGTTTGATCCAATTACAGTTTAGATGCCTACCATCAGAAGGATTGACACTCCCACACTCCTCTGGGGTTGGGCTTGCAGCTAGGAATTGTACTTGTCCTGTTTGGTAGGAATGGCAGAACCAGCACTGGTGATGTGCAGATGATGCTCTCTGTGGGCTATTGGTGCTCTCTATAGCAACACCATGCTTCAGCCAAGTGTTACAAGGTGACTCTGACTTACAGCATTCCCATCTGAGCGGTAGCAACACCATGCTTCAGCCAAGTGTTACAAGGTGACTGACTTACAGCATTCCCATCTGAGCAGTTCACAAGCTAGTAAAACCTGCACCACTGCCCCAGTCTACCTTTTAGCTGTAGAGCTGAAAAAACTTAGATGAAAACCTATTCTTCTGAGAATGCTACTGGCACTGTTAATTTTTAGATTGAGCGTAGTCACCAAACCTTTTGCAGAACTCTGAGGTAACTTCTCTTTCAAATAGTAAAACCTGCACCACTGCCCCAGTCTACCTTTTAGCTGTAGAGCTGAAAAAACTTAGATGAAAACCTATTCTTCTGAGAATGCTACTGGCACTGTTAATTTTTAGATTGAGCGTAGTCACCAAACCTTTTGCAGAACTCTGAGGTAACTTCTCTTTTGAAAGAGTGATTTTTATATTTGCTATAGCAAACTTACCTACACCTGTACCCAGCTTACTCGAGGGACCATTCTGCAAACCTTTTGCAGAACTCTGAGGTAACTTCTCTTTCAAAAAAGAGTGATTTTTATATTTGCTATAGCAAACTTATCTACACCTGTACCCGAGGTGTAGATAAGCTTACTCGAGGGACCATTCTATTAAATGCTAGAGAGAATCAGTCTGAGCCTGTGCTGTAGAACACCTTCAGTGCCAGTTTGTTAGTGGCAGCTAGTGTGTGACAGGGTAGTCAAACAATATCCTTTGTATCAACGTTTCTGGTTTGAGGAGCAGTGATTGTTATTTCTATATCTTAACTCGTTGTAAATTTCTGCCTTATTTCAATATGCCCCTTGAACCTGCTGCAGTAGGCTTAATGCCTCAGTGTCAATTTATTGCAAAGTAATTTTATTTGTTCTTGCTGCATTCATTATTATAGCAGTGTGAGGCATTCTGGGAAGAAGTAGACCTACTCCCTCCAGAGCACAGCACAATTCTATTTCCTGCTTCTACCTGGAGTGTTTTCCCATATATCACAGCAAAAGGAAATATCCCTTGCTTTACCAGCTCAGACTTTCACAGCAAATTCCACCTTTGCCCTGTTCAATTTGAAAAGCTGCCCTGCAGCTGGGCAGTGTTCTGTTGTAGATGCACATGCCTTGTACTCACCTGCAGTTACTGTGATGAGCAGTGGCAATCCTCCAGCCTGAGGAATGCACCTGGGGCCCTCTGCAGCCACCTGGCCCCACTGCCTCAGTTTGCAGTTGCAGCTGTGATCTGGGATGTCTTTATTTCTGAGCATATTCCCATCCAAGGATGTTCTTCAATGTTTTCCTTCTTGCCTTCCCCATCCTCATGGCTGTAGTCTGTTCCTGATGCATGTGTTGAGAAACTGACTGTGATGAGTCTGTGCACCTTGGTAATGAGTTGGAGAACTGCAGCTCTGTGCCATGGCAGTATGATGTCATGGCAATATGAGCAGCTGGATTCTTCCTGTTTACATAGGCATCCTTACAAAACATGGCTTTGAGGATTACTTGCTGTGAATATGGTGACTCTTAAATGATTATCAGTATAGCCCAAAGTGAAATCTAATACAACTTAAGGGCTGTCGTCCCCACTAACTACAGTCAAAGCAGCACTTGGTTCTGCATGATCACATGTAGACCAGGCTAGCTGATGTGAAGTGAGTGCTGTGCTTCTCTAGCAGCTGATGAAGGCTCCACAGGGCAGGTAGCAGCAAGGAGGCCACCCCTGCAGCTGCTGCAAGGGGGTGGCTTGGGGGAGTACAGTGCAGTGGGCAGCCATATTAAACAAGCTTTCCTTTATCCTGTAGCATTCTGCAGTTTCAAAGTAGCTCTACATCCCATCCCTCTTACATAAATGTTAAATGCTTTTACTGCTTGATGCCCAAGTACAATTCTGTACTTTGCAGCTGCTTTTCAGCTTTACTGCCATGTCATGTCTGTGACAGCACACGCTGATTGTGGCCACGCAGCAGGAAGGAAAGCTACTCCTGACCTGTAATTATGCAGAGTGGAAGGGTGCCAGTTGTTCAAAGCTATCCTGAACTTGTTCTGTACAGCTTTTTCATAAAGAGATTCTTTTGCACATGTTAGCTCAGTCAGTGCTGCATTTGCTGCATCTTACAGGACCTGTCTGATGTTTTGTTTGTTTCTACACAGCTTTGCCATAGCTTTGGATTTGGCACAGGCCTGGCACCATGTAGTGCAGGATGACAGCTCATGCATTAGTTGAGTAATTTTTGAAAAGCTTAATGAAATTAAAGCAATATCAAAAGACAGTCATCTAACATGATTCTGCTCAATAGGGCAGCTTCCACTAGCCATTATAAATGCAGGAGGATGTGTAACATAAGGCATTACATATATGAATTCAGGTTTGAGTTTCATGAGAAATCCATTAACAGCTTCAGAAGAAAAATGCTGCTGCAATGACAGGACATAAAAGGAAAAAAAATACTTCAGGGCAGCCAGGCCTCTGTTGCCAGTGTTTAATCTGTTTAGCTAAAGTATTTAAACTCTAGCTTGTAAAAAATACACAAAATGAGAGATACAATGTCTTTTATTTTTACAAAAAAAGCTGGTAAAAGATGATGTAAATAAAAGTGTAATGCATCCCTAAATAAAACTACCTCTCCCCTGAAAATACTTGTTAAATAATTAAGAACACCATCTACAGTACCACAAAACCATCAAAATAATTAAATTTTATCAGGGACAGGGGAAAAAAATACAGTGAATATGAATGTGCCTTGACCAGTTACAGAACTTGTTAGGATAACATAACTACTGTCAGCAGTCCAACAGCGTGCACAGTGCCTTCAATTAATGCATTTCAGCATAATTACATTTCTAGTGGGGTCTAATTCCCCCAAAAAGGCAGAGCTAAGAATTTCAATTCTACATTCCAAACTCTGGAATTAGAGCCCATTAAAAAAAATCACAGTGGGTAAGAGATGTATATAAAAATACTGGGTGTTCCTTTCAAATCACAGGAATTGTGGGACTACATTCTTTTTTTTCTGGTATTTTTTTTCTTTTTTTTTCTTTTTTTTTTTTTCCTACAAAATGCAATTGGTTTCAACAGAATCCAGTTTCTTTTATGCTACAGACTTTGACACTGAACTATGAGTATATTGCCTGTTTGCATGTTTTGGTAGTCAGGGTATTTTTTGTCCTTTTTTTTTTCTATAGTCCCAATTCCTTAGGCTTCTGTTGAGTCATGAAGATGCATATACATGCATTCCAACTCTTCAAACCCTGCAAGTACTGCATGTGACTACCAAGAGGGAATGCCCCCTTCTCCTCATAGCTTTATACACCTACTGTTTTAACAGTGCATTGCACAAATTTACATGAAAAATACTGGTTTTGCACTATACAGTTTCTAGAATATATACAGAATAAAATAAGTTAACTTCTAATGAGAATTGCTGATGGGCAGCATATATCTTTAATATACATTTTAAAGTCTCTGCAGGCAGCTACTTTTTGGTTAGTTGTTATCAGTATTTTAACATAAGCACTGGTCAGAGAACTGAGCAGCATTCCAATAAAGTTAACAGATATATTATTTCTTTTAGAAATACTGGGAAATCCCAGTTTAAAATATTATTAAATGTCCTAACATTTACACACTATGAGGATTAGATCTAATAAAATAAAATTTCTTCAAAAATAATCTTGCAGCTCTTTTAAGCATGCTCTGAGACCTTATTTAACAATCATCCATACCTTCAAAAAAACAACTGTCACATAGCCATACATTCTAACTCACACACATTATTTCCTTAGAACAGACAACAAAAGCAAATAAAACACTTGAGAAGTCAATGGTTTTTGCAGTCGTGTATCATTCTACTCATGTTTGACTGCACATTCTTCGTGACATTGCAGTGTCTCATTAGGTGTTAAGCTGATGTTTACTGCTGGAAAGCCAGGAAGCCTTGCAGGTCTTCAGCCAAAATAAACCAGCCTTGATTTTAGCCTCATCCCACCTGCGGTACGGATCCAACCTCTAGAGGCTGTTCTTGCAAGCATCCTTGATAGTTCTGTTACAACAGAAAATAATGCATATGTACGCATTACGTTTAAGCCCTTTTCCTTTCATGTAATTTTTATACATAAATTTAATAAAAAAATACTACTGCCACACAGGCTGCTGTGTAGAAAGAGCAGTCAAGTCGGATGTTCAATTTTCAGGGTTTTACTTGTGATGAAAGTTTCTTGCTGTGATAAAAGTGTGTTGGTTGTTAAGATTGCTGGAGGTTTGTTTTTGTTCTTTTGTGAAAGGTGCTCAATAATAGTCTGAAGTATCTTCATCATCAGTTCTTTTCTAAATGACAGCTGTTCAGAATCCAGTGGTCACGAGATTTGTTCCTGTTTTGATCTTCCCTAGAAGCTGACAGGATTGCACCATGCGGAGAGACTCTCGGATTTCTAGATTAAGTTCCATCAGCTTTGAGCTGGCCTCAGACATATCCTGGTTGGAGCCTACTACTGCAAAGCTGCCAGTTTGGCCAAGTGTCTGATGACGGAAATAGATGTGCAGCAATGTTTGAACTGGGTCCTCTTCAGAACTGCCAAAGATGTCGTGGGGCCAAATAGATCTGTAAACACACAGTTGGGATTTAAACGTTAAAAAAAAAAGTTTAAATGTTCTTTAAAAAGATATTTGAACGGCAGACAGGAAAATGCAAGGGAAAATAACATGCAATTTGGATTTAAAAATCAAAAGTTTACATACTTTTAAGGAGATATTTGAACAAAAGACATAGAAAAATGCTAGAGGAAAGTTTCTTCCACTGAGTCCCGGTAAATAACAGTAAAATTTCTCAGAGATAAATTCTAAATAAGTACTAAAATTGCTTTTTACTTTTCTTAAATTACTGAAAAGAAAACCCCAAAACCTGTAATGAAGCAACAGTACTTGTCCTTTTCAACAAGGACATCCAACAAGAACTGGAAAAAAAAAAAAAAAAGGAATAGTGCTTATCCCTGTTTTTAATTTTAAAAGGTCTATTAAGAAACTCAAGATCTGAAAGCAATCCTTAAAAACTTACCTGAAAGCCTTGACCTGTGCCACAGCTGACACAAACTCCTTGTTTCTCAGGGATTCAATGAGGGAGTGAATAGCTGTTTCTGTGCTAGCTTGGGATGCCTCTGCAATTTCAATTTCTTCTATACCACTGTCAGACACTGCCTCGGCCTCTTTCAGGCAGCTCTCCAAAAGAGCAAGCTCTTCAGACATGTTTATTACCTAAAACAATTATAATTTATGTCTTTTAGTTTAAATGTATTTCAAGGAAAAATAATTTTCAGAAGACCAGGTTTTTATTTTTCCTTCTCTGTGTAATAAAGTGAAATAGAAAAAAAACACCCAAATATTTTCTGCAGTTGCTTAAGTATACAGTTAATGGCCCAAGCATGTATGTAAATTATTTGGGCTTTCCCTGATGAAGTTTTCCTCTTAGTTCTTTT